CGTACAGCTCCATGAACTCCCTCTCCATTGCTGAGTCGAACAAAGATTTCGGCATGATGGGAGAAGTTGGCAGTCTAGAAGTCAAAACTCAAAAGCATGCAGTCAGACTGCAAGAGTAGAGGCTGAAATAAAACGAAAAGACGGTGCTGCAAGGATATCAAAAGCGCTCCGCGTTCCGCCGGAATCTGCATTCCACTGGCCTGCAGAGTGGTGGGAAACCTTTTCCGTGTTTACGCTGGCGGGAACGTCACGTGAGCGATTCACCTTGACAACTTTCACATTCCGCTTGTTTTTTACGCCAGTCTGAACGCGCCCTTAGAACCCCTGACTCCACCATATGACAGATACGTGTCTTACAATAATTGATTGCAACATCTTCCGAACATAGTAGTAGAGCTTTGGATCAAGTTTTAGCAGTTTCCACCGAAGCTAACTACCAAAATAGAACTTTGAAGTCGCCCACATACTAAATGCCATAGCTCAGCATGTGCATTGAGTGTACGGTCTAAGGGTTTTTACAACTAGCTCCAATGCGGCAGATACGTGTCTTAGATTACTTGATTGCAACATCTTCAGAACATAGTAGTAGAGCTTTGGATCAAGTTTAGACAGTTTCTACCGAAGCTAACTACCAAAATAGAACTTTGAAGTCGCCCACATACTAAATGCCATAGCTGAGCATGTGCATTGAGTGTATGGTCTAAAGGTTTTCACAACTAGCTCCAATGCGGCAGATACGTGTCTTAGATTACTTGATTGCAACATCTTCAGAACATAGTAGTAGAGCTTTGGATCAAGTTTAGACAGTTTCTACCGAAGCTAACTACCAAAATAGAACTTTGAAGTCGCCCACATACTAAATGCCATAGCTGAGCATGTGCATTGAGTGTATGGTCTAAAGGTTTTTACAACTGGCTCCAATGCGGCAGATACGTGTCTTAGATTACTTGATTGCAACATCTTCAGAACATAGTAGTAGAGCTTTGGATCAAGTTTAGACAGTTTCTACAGAAGCTAACTACCAAAATAGAACTTTGAAGTCGCCCACATACCGGTACTAAATGCCACACATGTAGCTGAGCATGTGTATTGAGTGTACATGTATGCTCTAGTGTTTTTCACAACTTTATCCAACATGAAGCCGATAGTGATGTGGAATTTGTTGACTGCTTTGTACAAAACATAGTGCTGAAGCAATGCACATTGGGCACTTTCTACTGGTAATGTAATTATTATATTATACAGTGTTTGCTGCCAACATAGCAAGAAATACTTCTATACTAAATGCGTATTCCACGGGGTACGGTCCAATGGCTTTTCACTTTACATCTAGCCACTGTTCTTCGTGCATTACTTGAATGCTAAGTCTCCGTGGTAATGAAGCTAAGAGCCACACTGGAGAAGTTTCTACTGAAGCTAACTATCAAAAATATAAAATTTCCAAGATGCTACTATTACATCAAGTAGCTGTGTGCAATGCCACTCCGAGTGTTGAACACAGTAAGCAAAATCGAGTCACTAAAACCCTATTTGCCAGATACAAGCTGTTGAGACTGATAGCAGCTGTATGATCTTATATGGATGGCGGTTCCACACTGACCAGCACATGTACACGCGCACAGGCAGAAGAACACACAAGTAATACACCTAACGTTACTTCGAAGTACACTGTGTACATCATGTAAATACAAGCGTATATACAAGCATCACTCCTGTTCTCCACAACCGGCAGTCCTGGGCAGCTGGTCAGAGTGCAATAATTTCTGCAGCAGGCTTGACTTGGAAAGCTAATCACAACTGCCATGGCTGCAACATGAGTATTACCAGCGCTTTTACAGTGCTACTTGTATTATATTATTGTCAATCCATTGTGGTGCATGGCACTCGTTTTCAACAACCGAGTTTATGTCATTAGTTGCATATTCAACGCCAGCAGAAAAAAGGGGGTGGGGGCAAATTACAACGGTTCAACACTAGTCATATTGAACGGCGTTATTCCATGCCAGGCGCGCACACAAAACGCCCGCGCGAGCGCGCATGCATGTACACACCCGGGTGACACACATTCATGCGACTTTACATAGCCTGCACTGTCGTTCTATGTCATAGGAGTGAGTGCACACACATATATGTACATGTACATGTAGATTGCCTAATTTTGCATACGTAATAAATTTTATACACACATGTGCGTGCACATATAGATAAACTCAACGGCACACGCATGAGAGTGTGCCGGTAGGGCCACATGCCAATTATCGGATTAGTCTGTGAAAGTTGCACGGCACAACAAACCTTCGGACAGTCTAAAGATATGACACAATGAATGTGGAATACCATCCAGTGTGTAAGACCATTTCAGCGATTGTGATTTTCGGAGCGTCCCTGTTGATATTTGATGTCCTCACTTGGTTGATGACACAGTAACAAATTATCAAATTCACCTCCAATGCCATCCAATCTGCGTTCCGCGATACATGTACAGTGAACGGTGTTGAGGAAAGCCATGCAGCAATAAAACAGTCGAGACTCCCAAGCAGAGGATACAATTCAACAGCGTATTGAAGTACGAATTGTTCTAAACAATTTTCAAGACACAATTACAAAATTTGAAGTACGTCTTGAAACGTGTTTGAAGTGCTTCGATGTATTTACCTTCGATCTCCCTGAATCGATCCATCCACAGCTACCTGGCGAATTTGCCAGTCAGTGCGGGAGATGATCGAGCAAGTTATAATATTTGAAGGCCGCGAGATGTCAGTGGCACTGGCAGGAAATCTACACAAGCGTGTTCTGAAATAATTTTCTAATACTCAGGCATGATTCAAGAGCGGACTCTGATTTCTCCCTTCTTATGGTACGAGCACCAGTCGACATTGCATTCTTGGAAAATCTTCTGCGAGTGCTGCCTTCCCCTTTCATAGAAAGAACGAGTGAAGAGGGACACTAGCAGCAGGTTCTAGCTAGGTCGCCAGAATTGCAGAAAAGCGAGAAGACGTTTCCTACAACGATTGATCGCACAAAAATCATCGCTACCGAAAAGATTTACTGAAAATCTACCCTTTTCAAACGATGCGCGCGCAGAGGGTGTGAGCCACCTTAAAACAGCTCCTTTTTGAAAATATTTTCAATGAGTGATATGTCGCTTTGTTTTGCTCTACTTGGTGCTTTTCTCCAATGTCATGCAGTCGTATTTATTCAGCTTTTATTTCTTGTGTACTTGCATACTGGTATTAGTTTAGTCCCACAACCTGCGATAAAATGATCAGCTGTAGCACCTACTCCACTTTTATGTTTACCGGTATGTATCCATGTCATTCGGATCTTCCCAAGTTGTACCTTGTACTGTTGAGATACCGAATTCAAATAAATCAATACCAATACGAAATACCAAGTATACAATTTGCTGACGATATTGCACTACTAGTATACCAAAGTGGTCCCAACACGGCAACTATTTCACTGGAACTCTCGTCATCCGTCACTGCTCTGGCCGACTGGCTCAAAAACCGCGGCCTGATATTGAATGAACGCAAAAGCCAAGTTCTGTCCATCTGTGGGAGGGATGCGCCGATCTGCATACTGTAAATTGCCATCAGATCCGCTTACCTGCTTGTACTGCGGCCAAGTACTTGGGTTTAACCATCACCGAGCCACTGACCTCGGACCACCATATCCACGATGTTACAGCGAAGGTGAACAGGAATGTCGGAGCATTGTGGCGAGCCCGGCGATCCCTTTCCCAGAAGGCCAGGGTCCAATACCTAAAATCCGTTGTGATACCTGTTATAATATTATGGAAGTGTGGCGTATAGCACGTCCCTCTCAGCTTTCGCTTTAGGGAAGCTCCAACGTCTTCAGAACCGTGCCATCCGCGCCGTGGTAAGCCTACCATCCACATCTTCGGTAAGCCGCCAAAGGGATAGAATATCCCTCTGCAAAATCGAGGAGACACAACACCACCGACTCCTCGATCTCATCTGGCGCGGCCTGAACGGCCAATGCAGTACAGCGCTTTCAAAGCAGCTGACGTCCGCAACCACGGCCACAACTCGACATCAAGCCAACACCGGGATCATTCTGCCGCTGGCCAGGACGAATATAGGCACTCGCCGACCGTTCTTCCGTGGATCTGCGCTGTGGAACACTCTGCCAGCCGGTGTACGTTCCTGCAAAGCCGTGGCCGATTTCGCAGGAGCCGTGTACCCGTACACTCTCAGGCCATAAACGCGAGAAGAGAAGCAGTGATATGCACACACACACACACACACACACACACACACACACACACACACACACACACACCTTTGACCTTGACCTTTGACGCCCATCGCCGGAGGCGATGATAGCAATGCTACGGCAGAAGCCATAGCAACTTGTGCTGGGATTACACCATTCAACAGCTTGCAAGGCTGAAGAATTGACCGTCACTATTCAGCCTGGTCTACACCATACAGCTATTTGGAGTGACATTTTCTGGCCAGTGAATCCCTTTTTTGGTCTTTTTCATTTTTTCATTTTTTTTTTCCCGCACACACATCACACCACATACTCCGGCATGCACTGGCTGTTGGTAACCACCCAGGAGAATGAAAGAAAAGTCAGGAAGAGTCTGAGAAAGAGAAGAAAGACGTGTGTGACCATAATCGTCGGGAATCGAACCCGCAATCTATCGATTGGAAATCGCTGCACATACCACTGCACCATATGGGACACACACACACACACACACACACACACACACACACACACACACACACAGACACACACACACACACACACACACACACACACACACACACACACACACACACACACACACACACACACACACACACACACACACACACACACACACACACACACACACACACACACACACACACACACACACACACACACACACACACACACACACACACACACACACACACACACACACACACACACACACACCTTGGACCTTGGACCTTGGACGCCCATCGCGTAGCGATGATGGCTCAGACGCGGCAGTGGGGGGCGTGCCTCTTCAGGTCCCCAATGCGGCCAAAGGGACGGCCACATGCGCAACGGAACTCTTTCGGTCCGGGTGGAGGAGGCTGCTGACGACACAACCGCTTCCAGGTTGGGCGATCCTGGGCTTGATGGAACCATTCTCCCTCTCCGATCTGTGCCGCAGCTAGATCAGTGACAACAACGTCACGCCATCGCTTCTTCGGACCGTGGCGGGGGCGAGTGGCATATAACTCGCCAAATACCATCTGCTGCGGAGTGCGGTGTTCCTCCATACGGGCAATGTGCCCCAGCCAGCGCAGACGATGCTGTCGGAGCAAATCGGAGATGTCAAGAGACATGCCAAATCGCCTGCCCAATTCTGCCGATGTGAGCCTGTCCTCCCACTGCTGGATCCGCGATACACCGAGGATAGACCGAATACAGGAGCGATGGAAGACGGTCAGCCGATGGACGTGGGTAGCCTTCACAGCCCATGTCTCTGCACCGTAGAACAGAGTGCTCAGGACAAAAGCGCGATATACCATGCACTTAATGCCGATGGATAAACCCCGGCACCGGAAAATCGGGGTCAGGAGGCAACCAAACACACGAGATGCCTTGGCCAAGCGGGAGGTGATCTCCACGTCCAGTGACCCATCGCAACTCACCACACTACCGAGGTAAGTAAAGCCGGAGACCATCTCCACAACCCCACCATCATCGAGGACGACATCAGGTTGTAGGTCCCCCGGGCCGACTGCTATGGCCTTTGTCTTGGCGATGCTGACAGTGAGACCCCACTGAGAGGCACAGGCGATGAACTCGTTTGCCAGGGTCTCCAGATGTTCTCTTGATGTGGTGTATATAGCGGCATCATCAGCGAACTGGGACTCGGTAACTTGGTACGTGTTCAGTCGCGCCTTGGTTGTTCGATCCCCAACAAGCTTCCGGTCAGGGCGTGAGCGCAGGGACACGCCGGGAACAGAAGAGCGGGAACGCCAAGACGACATTACGGCAGCAAAATACAGATTGAATAGGGTGGGGGCGAGAGTACAGCCTTGGCGAAGACCATTGTTAACATATATGTCCTCCGTCAAGCGACCAGATATACGAACCCGAGCCCTCATGCCGACATGTAGGGACCGAATCAAGCTGAGAAGGGTAGGTGGAATACCGAGCTTCCCGAGGACAAGCCACAACGCCTCACGAGGTATGCTGTCATAAGCCTTCTTCAGGTCCGTGAGGTGGTCGGTGATGCTGAGCGTGCTCAAAAGGATGGCTGTGTGAGGTGGAAATGCATCCGAAAATTGCAGCGGGTGGATGATGGCAGGCGTACGGTCACGCCCTCGGCGGTTTATGATGGAGACGGACACCTTACTGACAGCCCGGAAAGTCTTGTTACGCGTTGGCATGCACACTTCGACAGAGTGCTCAACATTGCTAGTCAGTTTAGTATGCATGTCATTGATAACATGCCTACTGCTGAGCCGCGTCATGAACTTGACATGGCCCCGACATTTGAGGAGGTGATGGCTGCAATGCGGAGGATGAGTAGGGGCACGGCTGGTGGCTCGTCAGGTATTGTGCCGGAATTGGTGCTGGGTGGCGGTCTTGCTCTCCACCGGCGTATTCATTCTCTGATTTCCCAGATTTGGGCAGGTGGCTCCGTTGTTTCTGAGTGGCGCGACGCTGAGATTGTACCCATACCGAAGAAAGGCGACCTACGGTCATGTGACAATTGGCGAGGCATCAGCCTGTTGGATGTAGTCGGTAAGCTGTTTGCACGGGTTATCCAGGATCGCCTTCAGGAACTGTCCGAGGATTGGTGCTGACACACACACACACACACACACACACACACACACACACACACACACACACACACACACACACACACACACACACACACACACACACACACACACACACACACACACACACACACACACACACACACACACACACTAGGACAGTATGTATAGGCATTTTAAGGAACGGTCTTTTCCTGTTAGCTCTGTTTGTCCAGTACATGAGATACAACGTCTTTCTTGTTGTTTTTCCTTCTTCATGTAGCTGCTTGCAGCATGGTAAACGACAGTATCACGGCCTTTTCAGGGTTTTTTCATTGTACCTATTTGTAGTACCTCCCGGGATCAGTACTTCCACTTGAAATAGTATTCACCAAAATCGCTCATTCTTAGCATTCTTTTATTCAGTTCCATTTAATTGGGCTTATTGCCCGTTTGGTGTTGCGACTTCAAATAAAAAACAACAACAACAACCTCACCTTCTCATCAATTTATCTCTTATTGGCGATGGTGCCATCGTGAGAATAAAGAATTCAACAACCAACTGTTTAACCCACAATCTCACCTTCTCATAAAGTTATCTCTTATTGGCGATGGTGCCATCGTGAGAATAAAGAATTCGAACAACAACAACAACAACAACTCTCTTATTGGCCACTGGCTATCGTGAGAATAAAGATTTGAAACAACAACAACCATACATGTACTTGTAAAGTTCAAAGTGATGTAAATCAATTTCCTACTGTTTAACCCACAATCTCACCTTCTCATAAATTTATCTCTTATTGGCGATGGTGCCATCGTGAAAATAAAGAATTCAAAAAAACAACGACAACAACAACAACAACAACAACAACAACAACAACTTAATATTCTCTTTAGGCTCAAATCAACTCTACACACTAAATCACTCTCTCTCATTTACAAAACGTATATCCTGCCCATAATTGAATATGCATGCATTGCTGTCACCCCACTCTCAATCGCAGCCCTTGACCGTCTTGAGCGAATCCAGCGCAAGGCGGCCAGAATCTGCCTCCGCCTCCCCCTCTACACTCCTCTGGATCATTCAACACTGCTCCATCGGCTCAAATGGCCGACAATGTTCTCTCGCCGCAAAGTGAAGCTCACCCTTCTTGCCCACTCCATAAAATACCAATATGCCCCACAACACATACGCTTGCTCAACACCCCCGCTCAAGTTACGGCCCAGTACAGCCTTCGACACGCACGCACTTGGCACCTCCCACCCTCCAGAACCGATCGCTGTAAAGACTCCCCACTGTACAAGTCCCTAGAATACTACAATGCCCTCCCTGCTAGCATTCGTGACGTCTCCTCCCGACCTGCTTTCAAACAAGAAATCTGCTCACTGCTGATTAACTCAATCTGCTCCTGCAGCGCTCACCCTCTCCCATACTTGTAAAGTTCAAAGTGATGTAAATCACTTTCCAACTGTTTAACCCACAATCTCACCTTCTCATAAATTTATCTCTTATTGGCGATGGTGCCATCGTGAGAATAAAGAATTCAAACAAACAAACAACAATGCTCTCACACAGGCGAAAGCCTTTGGGGGGTACAACATCTCAAGACTCGGTGGAAACACCGGCCAATGATAAAGAGAGTTTGCATTTTCTTTAAAAAAACCAATTTGAACTTTTCCACTCCATCATCCTGAAATACAATGTACATCCAAACTCACACATGTGCAGGAAAGGGCGGCGTTGGGAAGGCCCAAATATGCTCAAATATTTCGCATATTATGCTTTCCGCCTATCGGCCACTTGTTTCAAAATATGCTTAGAAATCAAACAAAAGCAGAACTTTATGCTCGAAATAAGCTCGAAATATGCTCGAAATATGAACTGATATCAGTGATAATTATGCGAAATTCTTTGCTCGTTGTAGCAAAATATGCTACATCTAGTGCAATACGCTAGATATGCTACTTTATGCGCCCTTGAGTCGCGGACACTCTCTTCTCGGGCCATCGTCCGTTCCACCATCTCCTGCGTCAAACCTTTAGAAGAAAACATGGAGAAACCGTCGTGTAAGAGATCCGCTTCACTGGAAAAGAGAGAAAACACGAGTAGCATAATCCCAGAGTATACGAGTAGCACAATTCCTGTTTCTCCTCCGCCATTGATTAAATGGACAATTACTTCAGATATTACTTCTAATCGCCAGCCAGCTGTCGAACAGACATTTCGAACCGCCGTCCGGAAGCGAAAGGGATAAACCAACGTCTAGTTCAAAGTCTGAAATAGAAGACGTGGTGAACTGGACTCTAACGATCAGCGGGTATAAGGGACGTGCATCGCCTGCGAAGCCAATTCTTCAATTTTCATAATGGAAGTCTTAACTCCAGCCGCAGCGTCATAATTATACCGCAGTTTCTGCTGGAAGGACGCGTGAAACATGGGAGCAACCTGATGTGTTTGGCATGCCAGTTGCACGAAGGTGTCCTAGTATCGGACAAATTTCCGACTCTTCTAAGGCAATGGCTCAGAATCAGGATTCGTACACGCGTTCTAAGTGTAAGACATTACAGAGGTGTCAGTTTTGCCAAAAAGAGTTCAAGCACGCTTCTCGCCTCCGCGAGCATGAACGTATTCATACTGGAGATCGACCATTCAAGGTTGATGTATGCAGGATGTCTTTCACTCAGTCAGGCAATCTATGTGTTCATAAATGTACTCATACCGGAGATCGACCATTCCAATGTGATGTATGCGGGAAGTCTCACACTCATTCAGGCAGTCTGTTTGTTCATAAACGTACTCATACCGGAGAGAGACCGCACAAGTGTAAGACATGTGGCACACAATCGTGTAACTTATGCAGGAATGAACGTATCCATTCTGGAGAAAGATCTTCTACGTGCTAGACATTTGTGATCATCCCAGTCATCCCAACTACATGGCCTTGAACGTATACATACAGAAGAACGTCCATATAGGTGCAGAGAGTGCACAAAGTTCTTCAGAACATCATCATGTTACCGTAGACACGAGTGTATTCATAACCTACAATGAATAGCCTAAAAGTCGTTACATAGTGTTTTACCATTGTGTGAAAATGCATTTCTCCTCTTTGCGCTTATGAATTGTAGGATCAAGAGAGAAATAGTGTGTGCGTGTCGGTTTGAAAGATAGTATACATTCGCAGCATTTAAAAAAAGAAATCGCTCTTTCATGCTATTCACACAGCGTACTACGCTCCGCCATTTCGAACACTATGCGTTGTACCGGCGCATGACTTTGTTATTGCGTAGACAGGTAACACCTTTAGCACTAACGCTACATAAGTATTGCTACATAACAACGTTATGATTGTAGCTATGTGGTCAGGTAAATGTACACAAGCCATTTGTGAAGCATGCCCAGCCGAGGCCGAGGCAGTTCAAGTGACACAATTCCGGAGAAATTATTTACGAGGTTTCTTTTACTTTTAGAATAATGGAGAGCTGTGGCGGAGACATACGCGAAGTGAATATCAAACAGACGAAGAAGGGTTTTCTAGTTGTGCCAGAGGCTCTGGCGATAGCATCTCTAGCGATACTGAAGTAGACACAGATGCATTGTTAAATTGGACCAGGATGAAGGAGCGGCTATAAACAGAAAGAGCTCGTTCCAAAAGAACTGCCTTTGCCGAGTCCAGCTCAGGAGGCTCGAAAAAGAACTAGAATTTCTCATGGACTCAGTACCAAGTCGATTGCTCAGCAGCGCCTGTCTTAAGCTGTGTTCACAACTGGCGCGTGTACGCGTGAAACCACGCGTTGTGCGTATTTTTGCTGGCTTTTGGGGCGCCATGCGTACGGAAACGCGTCGAAATGGAACTTCCAACATGTTGGAATTTTCAGCGCGTATCAGGCGCGTATCAGCGTACATGCCAGTCACTTTGACTGGCGGGGTCAAAAAATTAGTACTTGAAGGTGTCGCACGCGCTAAATACGACTCGGATTGCTGTTTTTTGTGAAAGGCTGAGCGCGCGTTTGGGGGCGCATGAACCGCAAGCGTACCGCGTCCACGCGCCAGTTGTGAACACAGCTTAACTTTCCTGATGAAGCACGTACAGTTAGTTGTGGACGGTTGTAATGCCAGGCTTACAGTCAAATGCTATCAGAAAGGAAGAGTATTGTGGCAAGCCGTACATCTACACACCATCTCAAGGAGAAGATGAGAGCACAAGCAAAGGAT